AGAAAAGCAAAGGTGTAGGCGTTCAAATTTGCTAAATTGAACAAAGAAAGTACCAAGTACGGAAATATACTTTTTATAACTTATAAAACAGCAACAACAAAGAAGCAATAAAATTCACGATCCGTCGACATTGAATATAAAGAATTTGCTATCATCGATAAGCCAAAAAGGTGCCAAAAATAACTAGATATAAAGCCAAGAGTGCCAAACACATATAGACGTCCATGTTAATAAAATAAACTGCATAACAGTTAAGCGAACCACATCTCAACATTTTACATTTTGTTCCGACTTTATTCTTGGAAAACGTAGTATTCAGAGGTAGTGTTCATTTCCAAATATGGGCAATGCAGGCAGCACTAGTATGCATCGTGAGCGCCACAAGTCGAGTGACCTGTCAACACCAAACTCCCCATTTCGAGAGATGCCCGGCCGTGGCGATTCAGTTGCCTCAGCATCTGGAGTTGTAGCGGTCGGTAGTGCCGTTGGTGGTGGGGCACAAGCCTTTACTTTTGACAAAAACATAACAAATGACAAGAATGTGCGTTCAGTCTTGCTCGGCGGTTCCTCGCAAGAAGACGAAGATCAGCCATACTATACGAAGCCCGTCGGTAGCGCAGCTACTACAGATACAATCACAACACCCACCCCACGCAAACGCGCTAATACTGTTTCAGAAGGCAGTTCTACACCGCAACACAACAACTCTGGAAGCAATATGTCTGTAAAAGAAGCGGCTGGTAATTCCAATGATGATAAAGAAGAGTGCTCCACAGAAGACCTACCTAGAAATTCTGGATTACCGACTGTTTTGCGTTGGGATGGAGGTGGCAAGAATGTCATGATTTCGGGCACGTTCTCCAAATGGAAACCTCTACCCATGGCACGTAGTCATGGAAATTTCGTGGCAATTATTGACCTTCCAGAGGGCGACCATCAATATAAATTTTATGTGGATGGCGAATGGAAACATGATCCTAAATTGGTGAGTATGTATTTAAACAATATCGAAAGAGTAATTTTTAATACCTATTACTGTGCAGTAAAGAAAAAAATCGATATTCAGTGGCCATAATATATGTACTGACGAGTATTCAAGTATAATCTATGCATATGTATGTACATGTTACACAGCTATATTAGCATATGTAGATATGAGGATGTGTACTTTACTGAGACGCAATAATGGTGACGTGATAGAAACTAATTGACCATCGCCGGTGTTTTTGTTATTTTGCTATTGTTGATTTGGTATTGGGGTTGAAGGAGCTTGGTTGTGTAATCGCTTTTAAAACCTACTGGATAATGTAGCAAATTATAAAGTCAAGTATTAGTATATTATGGTACGTACATAGATTATTCGCAGTAGTCATAATGAGATTTAAATTAATCGTTTGCACAGTATGATATTTGCACAAATGTAGTATATGAACATACATACATATCGTCACCTGAAATGCAAAAGACGAAACAACATCATCGCTGAAATAAAAAAAAGTCACAACTAATAAAAAATTCAAAATTCACTTTTTCATTGATACGATGGATTTCATAAAATTATAACTCCCCACGTCATTTTATAAAATAAAATAAAAATATTAATCACGACTTTTTCCATTTCAGTTGCGATGTTGTTACGTCTTTTTGCATTTCAGGTGACGATATGTACATATGTTTGTATGTAGATCTGTTAGTAAAGTGATGAGGGTACAAGCGTACATATATACATACATATGTATATCATCGTTCAAAGAAGGGTTGTTGCGAATATTCGCATTCGCAACCGCGGAGCTTCTGTATTAGTTTTAATATTCGCATTCGCAATAATAAATGCAGAGCTTTTGCGAATGCGAATATTTTGCAAGTGGACCGATAAAACGTATACATATACGGCACAAAAATGACAAATTGTAGCCAATATTTTTGCTTCTGGTCGTAGGAGTATTTGTGTAACAAAATTGGTCAAATGCTATATTTATCAACTTTGATAAAAATGTCTTTAAAATATTATTTCTTAAGCTATATAACCGAGCTATCAATGGGCATCCATAAAAGTTCCCACTTCTTCTTGACCTTTGACGTACGTCAAAGAGAACATAGTCCTTTTAATAATATTTTTTTTTGTGCTTTAAATACCTGCTTTGGTTTATTTGTGGAAATTATTGACTACGCTTGAATTGTTTACACTAATTCACTCATATAGCAAGCATTCTTCATGAATGCATACAACCGATATCTACTGGGATGAGCAGGTTACACCAACATGACTCTAAATGATTCAACTGTGTGTAGTCGAAGGCGAGTCAACACGTCACAAATGACTACCGTGTATGCCACCTATTACATATATTCGTTTGCATAACTTCAAATGTGCCCCATTTGGGGAATTTATTTTTAGCAAAAAATATTAAAACCCGTAGTTTTGTTTACTTGTTGGGTAATATTTTTTTCATAGGGATATACATTGGATCCTTGGCTAAAAACTTCTGTGGTAAAACTTTTCCTTCTTTGCTATTTAAAGTCAAAGAGTAAGCTCCTTCAATAGGGATTTCCAGTAGAAATGATCAACGTCTAGCTATAAAGAGAATCGCTGCTCAAATAATTAAAAAGCTATAGGTCTGACCTTTAATTAGATAAGAATTACGTAACTATCTGATATTGACATGCTTATAAAAAACGGGGTGCTTTAAAAAAAATAACAATATTCTGATCTGATTCGGCTGACAGCCACGACTTTGAAAATTTTTTTGTTCAAATTTAGCTCGCTATAAGCGCAAATTTTTCAAAGCAGTCGCAGAAGAAAGTATTAAAAATGAATAACAAAATCTAAAATCGAAAAGTGCTGATGACGTTACAGGTTCCAAAAATTCTGAAACAACATGACATATGTACGATCTGGCCATTATGCTAGATGCTAAGTGTTTTTTTTTTTTTGTAATAGTTGACATCCGCATTCGCATCCACATCCGCCGATGTTAGCTGTTAGATATTCGCATCCGCATTCGCAGCCGCGGATGTCTAAAATTCCACATCTGCAACATCCCTAGTTCAAAGTATAAAACCGCGTATCGTCGTTGTGTAAAACCATGTAACTGACCTTTTTTTTTTGGACTTGCTCACACAAGCTCTTGGCTCAAGCCTTATTCATTCGTCCTGGAATATACTAGCCAGAAATGCGATTGCTTTATAAAAAAGAGAACCATTTTGAAATATGAGTGTTTTTTCTCTCTAGAAAATAATTTATGCAACCTCACATATGCGGTTTTGAATTTTGTTGATACGTGGTTTTGTACTTTTAAAAAGGTGTGTCTGCTATTGATACAAATTGATAAGCATTTTATTTACAATATATTTATGTACATACATATGTATGTATGTATGGATGTATGTATGTACAATATCGGTCATATCTATAGCACTCCATTTCAAAGTGATATTGTTTGGCACTTATGTTTGTTTATTTATTTTTAAGATTTTTTAAATCATTCATTCTCTAAAAAACCCCGCAAACATTTTCAGCCAAATTTCAAACTTTTTTCTCAGAACTGTTAGATTATTTTTGAGTACACATTTTTATAGTCCTTCAATATTAATCTGATAATAGGGCTTATGAATAAAAACTAAGCAATCGAAATATTCAGAAGGCTAAAGGTGTTCTTACACGATATGTGTTTGCATGCCACTTTTTCCATATGGAAATGCCAACATATCGAGTAAAGGCAAATTAGATTTGTTTCTGTACAAAGCAGATGCACATACATGGGAAATAGAAATGTTTCTATTTTCATCTGACACACAGATAGAATCATCTGAGTTTTATTTATTTCGTTTTCAAAGAACGTATTTTTAACTAGTTAAATAAAGACTGTGAATTTGACAGACATACGTAATTACATATGTATTGAAAAGGTCACATTTCCAGATGCAAATACACGTCGTGTAAGAACACCTTAAGTGATTACTAAAGCACGTCCGTCGTTCTCGCTATCAAATATCGAATGTCTCTTTATTCCGCTAACTATTTACATGATCTTGTCCTGGGCGGTCATGCCTTAAGAGCTAGACCCATAACTCTGTCACTAATGGTACAGACACAAAACACCTTATGTCTAGTTTACAATAACTTAACTTAATGTTTAGTGCAGGTATACTACATACTCTTACACAATTGCTCTTTCTTAAAATTTCAAACCTTTTACTCGATTTATTTAAATAAATTCAAGTAAAATGTCAGAAATTGTTGGGGAAAAGCAATTGCTTATATTTAATTCATACGGTCCAATATGCAAGTTTTAAGTGGGTACATATTGCGTTTGATTGTGTTAGAATTTTTTTGCCGAAGCTGTTGAGGTTTTCTTCCATATACAAATAAATTGAGTTTATTCGTTAATTTTTAAACCACACAAAAAAATCAATATACATATTCACAAAACTAGGAGCCAAATATAGCATAGCTGTGTTTTAATTTTTCTCTCTGACGTCAGGATTTTTTAAAGGACTTCGAAATTTCTAGGATATGATTGAATAAAAAAATAATTTAAAATATTTGGTGCATTGCAGAGTAGTAATATTGGTATCGAATAAAAGGGAAAATTCTGTAGAATTGAAAAAAAAAATAGTTTTTTTGGTGCACCAGGGCAAATAAGTGTGCAAAATGCCCTTTTAAAACTTTATCCTTGAATATTCTTGGAAATTTCCAATATTTATTTTTGAAAAAAATATATGTCAAGGACTAATATGTAAAATACCACGTCCTCGAATTTCTTCCTTCTAAATTTATTAGTTTTAGTAAAAAAAATTTACACTTCTCTTCATAAGATATTGATAGTGTAGTGAAACACGTCCACACGCTTTAAATGTCGATTGCCAATTGCCCTTTTATTCGCTCTTTTCGCCATTTACTTATTATGGTTGCCCGTTCACAATAATTGAACGGATTACAATAAACTAGCTTAGGCTTACACTTAGGTTTGACTATCAATAATGCACTACAATAGTTACAATATATGTACATAAATGAAGATACTGGAATCGTTACTCTGTACAGCACTCGGATGGGTATTGGACCAAACCAATTTTTTTCTAAGAGATTGAGTCATAGGTAAAAAATTAATTTCTCCGATTTTCGAAGTTAGCCTCCGAAATAACTAAGAAACTAACAAGCAATTTTTAGCAAAAAAACCGACTTAAAAAAATATATATATACATATATATATATATATTTCATGATCCAATGATCGGATCTTAACCACCTCTGAAACACTACCTTTCTGGTGCAAAAATAGTTGTCGAAATCGGTTGACGTGGTCCAAAGTTATGCGTCGTGGAAGTCGGTTAAAAATATAGACGTAGTCCACCTTTTGCTCTTATTTAAATGGTATAGAACTTTTTTTGTGCAAACTTATATTACATGTGCTATAAGGGGTCAAAGGTCGGGCCTTGGAAAAAATTAGAAACATTCTTCAAACAATTTTGAACCGATTTAAAAAAAAAAATTAGTTGTAAATGTGATTAAATCCCCTTTCTTCTAATATGCATATTTGTATAATTCGTGTGTAAAAATTAAAAAAAAAAAAACATTTAAATGGAAAAAATACCTTCTTTTTATAAAAAAAAACTATCTTAAACAAAAAAAGTTACTAACAGATTTTTAAAAATTGATATCGTTGTAAAGACGATTAAACTACCTTTCTTCTGGTATGCATACAAATTTGAGAAAAAATATTTCAAAGCAAAAAATACCTTTTTTTATAAAAAAAAAAAATATTTTAAACATAAAAGTTACAACCCGATTTTTAAAAAATCGTTGTAAAGTATACCAGAAAAGTTATACTTTCTTAAATCCAAACATTTCTATTTACATACACAAAAAAAATTTATTTAAAAACATTTTTTCCCTTTATATAAACTCCTGCCCCCCAGGTGAAAGGCTGGCTACGCCCTTGTATACAAGACACTTAAAGTATTTAAACCATACGGCCAGTTTGTTCTTTTTGAGCGCATACATGGTTCCATAATAATGATTCCAGTATACATACATACATATTGTAACTATCAATATCTTATAAAGAAAAGTGTAATTTTTTTGTTTATCTAAAACTAGTAAAGTTAGAAAAACGAAATTCGAGGAGGGTAGTTAACATATTAGTCCTTGACACATATTTTATTCAAAATAAATTTTGGAAATTTCCAAGGATATTCAAGGATTAAGTTTTAAAAGGACATTTTCAATACTTATTCGTCCTGGTGCACCCAAATAAAATTTTTTTTCTGTTCTACAGAATTTTTCCTTTTAACTGATACCCATATTGTTATTCTACAATACGCCGAATCTTTTGAATAATTTTTTTATTCAATCATATCCTGACGTCAGAGAGAAAAACGAAAAACGCAGTTTTACTAAATTTGGCCCCCAGTTTTGTGAATGTATTGATTTTTGTCGTGTGTAAGATTGACTGTCGCACGGTGTTATCAGACTAAAATTGAATGAGCTATACCACTGTTTACTAAAAAAATCTAACACTTCTGATAAAAAGTTTGAAATTTGGGTGAACATTTTTGTAGTTTTCCATAAAGTTTTAAACTTGGGTTTATATGGCTTTTATAAGAGAATGAACTGCATTTCAATTGAAAATTCTAAAAAGTAAAAAAAAAAAATAAAAAATAAAAAAATTCTTAAAATCACTTTGAATAAGCGTGCTATGGATATGACCGATACCATATGTATTTACACCAGGAGGTCTATCTTGTTATGCGATAATGTTTTTTAATTCAGTTTACAATAACAAACACTAAATAATAAAGAATCATGCAACCTCAAATTTTTTTCATTAAGAACAAATATTACTGTAAAGATCTTAAATTTTTTGTTTTGTCCAAGATATCATTACATGGCTGCAAAATAAAAACGCTATTTTTCAGCGAATCAGTAACATCCATTTGTTTGATATGTTTTTTTCCAAAATATATTTCGTAGAAGTATTTACTGAGATGTATTAAAAAACGATACCTGTTTTACGCAAATGCGCAAGTAAGGAGGGATCATTTGAAAAAATATGTCAATACTGTTGTTTTACATGGACCGCAATGTATCTTAATGTATGTACGTATCGGTCCTTTATTAAAATACAGTGATAACTCAAACAAAATTTTGAGCAAATTTTCCAGAATTACTCGTTATATCTAGCTTCATTTTGTGTACGAATTTCGTGCTAAAGCGCTTTCTCTCTTTTACTTTAAATGCCTCCCCTTTGTATGTTTATATTTAGAATGCTACATTCGACAGCTTTTTACTTTGTTCTAAATAAATTGTACTTATCTACCACTGAAGATGACGCCCATACTTTTTGCTATGATTAGTTGCTTCTTATTTGCTTTGTACTTGTTTATTGCATTTATATACATATGCATATATACATATATGTAGTTGAAAACCTCGCAGCTTTATCAGTAAAACTACTTAGCACATTAAGTAACTATTAATTAATCTGAGGAAGTGCAGTCGCATAATTTCGTATACAGGGTTTTATTCAATGAGCGAAACTTCTTTGTGTGACTAACAGCAGCAGAAATCAACTAATCCTAACTTCTGAAGAGAGTACAAGGTGAAGGCTGCCTGATAGAGTGGAATCTTATCCACCAAATATGCTTCGATATTAATACTATAATTTTCAAGTAAAATAAGCAGATATTTGGTGCCTCTATAGCAGTGTCCGAGGTATAACGGAAATCATGCGACTTTATGCTTAGTTTATACAGATCACCTCTTACATCTGCTGCATCCGGTAGCGTGCCTAGTTTACCTAGAATTAACGATTTCTTTCATATACATAAATTGATAGTTGATATGTATTTTCATTAGCTTCTACTAATAAATGTAAATTAATCTTATCTTTTCAGAAAAGTATCGAAAACGAAGATGGCATTAAGAACAATTTAGTTTCGGTACGTCAATCGGACTTCGAAGTGTTTCAGGCGCTTGCCAAAGATAGTGAGAATGCACCAAACTACGCTGAACGAGAATATTCACAGGAGGTGCCACAACCTAAGCCATGGGAAAAAGTTTCTGGACCCCCAGTGTTGCCGCCTCATTTATTGCAAGTCATACTTAACAAAGACACGCCATTATCGGTGAGTATAGCATCAGTTATTACTTAGTTTATATTAAGACAAATTCTAAAATATCTGAAATATAATTTTTTACTATTTCAGTGTGAACCCACATTGCTCCCTGAGCCTAATCATGTTATGCTTAATCATCTGTATGCACTTTCTATCAAAGATGGTGTTATGGTGCTGAGCGCAACACATCGCTACCGCAAGAAATATGTTACCACTCTACTTTACAAGCCCATATAATATGGTACACCATGCGTTATAAAACATAAGTAGGTATAGTTAAAGAGACAATATTGGCCATAATTATATCTATGTTTTTTAAGCCATCCTTGTTTGTGAATGAAAAGCCTCAGCAAATACGCGTATTTCACGGTTATTTTCATATTTGGTACAAAAATATTAATTATTGTATACTATGTACCTACATAGGTACATCAGCAATACGGTCTGAATTAGCGCAGTACGAGCATGATGTATTACTAATATTTTGAAAAATGGTTATTATGTTAAAATGCTAGTTTAATTAAAACACACAAATACTGCTAGGCGCATAGTTGAATATATATATTTTATTTCGTTTAAATTTTAACTATAAAAAATATAAATAAAAAAAAAATAGATTTGAAAAATAAGCAAACTTTGTTTAACTATACATCTTCACAAATATCAATCAATCAATCTTTACCATCTCCTCATGAATTAACAGAAATACATGATTTTTAAAATTTGGTCTAGTTATTTTTTATCGCCTGAAATGAACCGCTTTCATCGAAGAGCACTTTAGTAAAATATTCAACAAAAATTCTTTCCATGTATTGCGCACTTTTAAATGGCAACCAGCCTTCGAGGAAACCAATATGGCCACCATATTCAGTTAAAACCATTGCAACATTTGTGCTTTTCTGTACAATTTCCAATGGCAAGGCTAAAAAATAATTATATAATATAATAATTAATAGGGGAAAAATTAATTTGATATCAACAAATAGATTATGTAAATATTTAATACATACCTTCGATTGGTTGAAATATATCATCGGCGGCACAAAGGCACAGCAGCGGTACTGACACTTTCTCTAGTTTATTATGTAATTTTGCATCTTCGTAGGCTGCATCCAAGGTAGGAAACACTGAGCTTTTCACCAATAAGTTTAATATAAAATCGCTCATCTTTTTGCTCTGTGAAAATATTTTCTCTTATAATTTTTGAAATGTAATATCAGAGAAACTACACATATGTACATATGTGTGGTTATTACTTACCGTAAGCACAAGATCCAAATCAATATTTGATTTCTTTAAAATTGTATAGTTCTTGACTAATTTTAAAACTTCCCGCATTATTGCATGATTAAACGTCCTATTGAAATAAGGTTTTTCCATACTCTTCATACCTGAAAAATAAATGTATTTAAAAAAGCAGTTCTTTTATATAACTAGTAATTTTTAGCAAAAAAAAACCGACTTCAACTCCCATATAAAAAAATATATATATATATATATATCTCATGATCCGCTGATCGGATCTTAACCAGGTTAGTATGGGACCACCTCTGAGACACTACCTTTCCGATGCAAAAAGAATTATCGAAATCGGTTGACGTGGTCCAAAGTTATGCGGTAACATACATAAAAAAAAAAAAAAAAAAATATTCCGACGAACTGATAACCTCCTCCTTTTTTTGGAAGTCGGTTAAAAATGAATCACCTAGTCCAGCAAAGAAAACAGTTTCGAGTAACTAGACTATTTATCGCTGATGTGTTTTAAGTCTCTGAATAAGTTTCTAATTATTTCAAATAGCCTATAAAATTTGATATATTTTAGGGAAATTTTTTGATTCGTATTCAGCAATCTAGTATTCTTGGAACATATTTGAGCGCTCTTAACTACAGTTAAGCCTTTGGTGGAAATATACTATAAGGTTTAATCATTAAATAAATAATTGTAGTTGCGGTACTTCAAGGGAAGGGGGTGATAGCTGAGTAGGTCTAAGAGCGCAAGTGAGGAGGTAGTCGGTGTCACGTGGAGTGCCATAACAAGCTGGGCACGTAATGGGTATGAGTCTTGATAAGTATGAATTTCAATTTCCACAATATTCAGACCAGCTAACACCAGAGGTTGTTTAATGAACCTCTGGACTTCGTCCGTCAGTAGGAGGACAGTTCTCTTGCAGAGCGGTTTCGGTAAAGGCTACGAGTTACCTGAGTTTTTTTTTGTTGGCAGCCTTCTGTTTAGACGATGGTCTCATCCACGGAAGGATGCAGTGTGAACTATTGGAGTTAAAACAGCTCACGAATTTCCTGGGGTCGGGTTGGAGTGGTCATCACGGGTGAGAAAAGCTTACTCACACCAGGAGTGAAGTTGCAAGTTAACAGGTGATCTTCCTACTAGAGATGGGCAAAAGGTGTGATTTTCTACGTGTCGCGTCGTGTCACGCTTTTCCACGCGTGAGCGTTTTTGAGAGAAAAATAACGTAACTTTCGTGATCGTGTGTGACTGAAATTTTTGCTGGCGTGAGCGTGCGTGAGTTAGTTTTCCGTCAATCACGTAATTTTCCCATGCCGAGCCCTAACCGCCAGAAAGATGTAAGGACATTCTTTTAATAATTTCTTTTTGATGCGTAAATGTTCCTAGAGCACAGCTGGGCAGCGTCTGCCCGGCGGGCGACTGCCCGTCGTATTTGCGCATACCTACACGCTATACTTGAGGAGGCTGCGAAAGCTTCATTCAACTGCACGACTTGTTCGCACGCACACAGTGACATCAATTGCACGCACACTACAAAAATGCTCTGCCGATGTTGCCCCCCTCTGTCCTAGAGCATCAAAATGTCGCTCACGTGCCCATCTCTACTTCGTACTGTTTATGCTGGTTTATCAGTTCCTGACAAAGATGGTCATGATCCTTTGCCAGTAACCAGCTACAGCCGGGGAAATGACTACTCTAGTTTGCCAGATTACATTTTTTTTTGTAGGGTCCTGAAGCTAATTTAAATTTAATTTCAATTGAAGAAATCCTCTCGCTAATTTTGAATATTCAATGCCACGCGATTATATACATACATACATATGTATTAACTAATGCCGAATTTCCACTAGGCATTGAAATGACAAAAAAATTGGAGGCATTTAAAAGATGCCATATGGAAATGAATTTAATAACTATTTTGACAAGAATATTTTTTAATGCCCAAGTTTGTCATTTAATGCCTAGTGGAAATCCAGCATAAGATATTCATTTACCCAACTTCAAGTCACAAGGCGGTGAAATCATCATAGCTGCAGTAAGGTATTTACTAGCTTCTTCTTTCTCGTCCGCTAAATAAGCTCCTACAAAGGATAAAAGAAAACAAAAAATTAAATCCTTAATTTCTTCATGATCAATCATCTGGACTATCGCTGAATCCAACGTCCGAACGTAAGTATGCATACGTATGCTACGTTCGTGGCTATTCCAAGACTACGATGGATTCAGTGATAGCTCTGAATACTTTACCCAACGTTAAAGTGCCCATGGAGACAGCGGCAATGCCAAGCTTACTATCTGATGGCAACTTCTCACGCACATACCGTATCACCTCTGATAGATCCTCGTAGCAATTCAGCGTATATAGTCGCGGTGTTTTTAATGACACCCCACCTAAACCACGATAATTACAGCAGACGACCCGAAAACCAGCTCTATTGGCATTCATCACCAAGCTTCTAATATATTCCGTTTGAGAGTGTCCTATAAAGCCCGGTATGATTATGATGCAAGGTGCATTTTCTTTGCATCCATCCTCCAACCAATGCAAGCCTAGTTCGCCACCATCTTTTAATTTTAGTACTTCACTAAAGATTTAAGAAATGTTAGTTGGTTTGTTTCAATATTAACGTTGTCATTTTCTAATCTTACCGCCTGTATTTAATTTTAGGCAAAACTAATTCCCGTATTGCATTTGCTATCAACGTTTGAGGCCCACCCCCTAAGCACCAAAAAGTTGGCCAATACTTTTCGTTTATGGTGTGTACATTTGATTTGAGAAAGTCTTTTAACGGGCCATCAGCAGAAATGAGACGCGATCGCTGATTTAAGGAATTTTAAAGGGATTTAAGTATTATTTAGTGCTTCTTCCAGCAGCAGCAGCAGCAGCGGCAGCAGCATACTCACCTGTACAACGTGTGTAAAGTAGTAAACGAAGAAAGCATTAATAGCTATGAATAATGAATGCCACAAATAAGACATATTGCAGATTTCAAAATACATTATTGGCGGAACTAAGTAAAGTATTGGTTTATTTTTTTTTTTTTAAGAAAAAGTTACTTTATTATGACCGAAAATTCGCACAAATTTGAAAAATAACCGAGGACCAGCACTGAAAGTTGTGCGCTATAGCACCTTTCCTAATGAGTGAGATTTCCGTTTAAATGCAGCGCTTAGATCTTTAACTGAAATCATGTACTTAGTATAATTTAAATTTAAATATTTTACTATTTCTCATATCGATTAATTGTTGTTTTTTTTTGCTTTGATGCAACGGTAAAAAAGAAGCTGTACTTAGTTAATATTACATAGAATATACCCCAACGCACGTTGTTATTGTAGACTCTCTAACTGAAATAAAAATAAAAAAAATAGGTGCAGGTTAAAATGCATTACTAGAATCCAAACGCTAATGGCTCGAGGAATATCCTTTTACTTTTCTTTTGCTATAACAGCTAGGATCACGTACTTAGGTGCAATGAAAATTTCAGCAAAAGACCGTCTTTATTATTTACAGACCCTTCCTTCTCATATTACACATTTTTATTTGTAGACAGGCTCCTCTGGTTATCATGGCCTCATATGTACATATATACATACTTCATTCAAAATTTTCAAATCCCTCAAAACCGCTCAAATAAAATTTGAATTATACATATGCACTTAAGACCGTACCACCTTAAAATCGAACAAAAAGTTCGTCGTGCATCCCTGGGACTAAAATAATTTTGCTAGGCTATTTCGAAAAACGTTTTATTTATGTTTTGGTCGAACCTAGGGGTCAGCTTTTTACATTTTTCGGCGACACTTACATTCGGCAATATTTTTTTTTTTTAATCAGAGACCGGTAAAACCGTTAAATATCAAGAACTTTATTTTTAGATCAGTGCAGAATAGTTGTTTTTGGTTTTTACCTTTTCCGATCCAGAATAATCGTTAACTTTGGATCTTTATTTTTTCGGTCAAATTTAATCGTTATTTTGTGATTTTTATTTTTTTTCGATCAAAAATTATCGTTATTTTGTTTTTTTTTTTATTTTTCGGTAATTTTAATAGTATTGTTGGAGAATGCGTTTTTATGACAGCTTTAAATCTTTACAATCTAAAAAATTAAATATAAAAATAATAGTTATATGCATGAGAATTTATCGAAAAAATAAAACTACGAAAATAACGACTATTCTGAATCGAAAAAATATAAGTCCTAAAATAACGGTTAAATTTCATAAAAAAATAGAAATTCAGTTTAAACAGTTAAAATATAATTTTTATTATAAATACCATAACCGTTGCGGTCCCTGTTTAAAATAGTTCTACTGGAATAATAAAAGCTTTAGTGAGTGCTGACATTAGGGTGATAAGAAATTAGATCTGGTGGGTACATATTTAAACGGGTTACTTAAGGTCGATAAACTATGGATAAAAAAAAATGTCTCCTCGAGACAAGAACATAGTATCATACTTCAAGACGGTAAGTTCCGAAGATATGCCGAAAAATGTAGAAAGTCAACACCTATGCACGTTCGGGCAAAAAAAGTTTTTTGTTGTCGAAATTTCTTTGTTTCGCTAAGGCGAATTATTTTTTATTTATTTATGTTACGATAAGTATTTGAAATCATGTTAAGTAAAATTTGTGTTGGGTATGATTTCGTTATAGCAAAAAAAACCATACTGTCAGAATCACCATATTATTTAATATCATTACCCAGCGGACAAACACACGAGCCGTTAGTGAGAGTCTGGCAAAATGTTCGCAAAAGAGCTCACACGTCAGCAAAGAACATTTGAGAAACTTTTTGATCGTAAAACTCTCGCGCACCAGCATTGTAGCTTGAATTATCCGATAAAAATGTGAACAACATATCGTCATAAATATGTATATGTAAAATATCGTCTAAAAATACAAATATTGAGTTAAGTACGCAGAAATTATCGCTACCGCTTCTTCTATGTTGTGTCAAAATTTCATAGCTGTATCGATTACCAGCATTTCACTGGATGAAAATATGTATTATTTTTTACTATGGGAGTATATCTCACATTTCACTCGCATGTGGTATCACTTGCGAGCATTTGGTCCGCTGGGAGGTAGGAAAATCATTACAATATAATATATAATACGCTCCACATATGTACATATTTACTTGTAAGCGAACAAAAAGTATTGAACGTATAAATATGCTAATTGTACTTTGGAGGCGGAAGTAAACACTACGCCGATACTTACCTATGAACTTCCTTTTTATTGTGATTCTAATTATAACCCAGTTAAACACTAGCTAAAACTGCGAATCGCGATATTAACACAATTGGCTGAACTCATTTCTACGCTGAAAAACTTGAGACATACAGTCATTAAAAATATTGATACCGGACGAGATGCAGCTAGAAACATTCGATCTCTTCTTTTTTTAGGCAGATATTCGACGATCTTTTTATAAAGTTTAACACTAATAAGGTAGAAGCCATCTTTGTTTAATAATAATAGTATGGCGCTTACACAACACACAAAGGGGAGGGATCTGCAATTTTACGCCGAGCTCTTTGTCATGGCAGAAACGCGCTCGAAGGTTTGCCATTGCCTGCCGAGGGGAGACCGCTATTAAAAAAAAAAAAACTTTTTCTTTTCTTTTGCTTTTGATGTTAGTCGGAAACTGAACTCGATCCCAGGGCCTGTGGTCTCATAAATTTTAAATCTCACAAAATGCTTATAATGACTTTTGCTGACATTTATAGAAACATGGTAGAAATATTAAACAGTTTTTATTTAGTTTTTTATTATGTTATACGATTTATATATATTTTAACAAATTCATAAAATTTCCAAAATTCAATTCAGAATTAAAAAAAAAAACAAGTTAGAAAGTCTAAGTTCGGCGAGAGCCGAACATTAAATATCCGGCGCAAGTATTAAATATATGTTTTTTCACCTTTCTGAAAGCTACCGCTAGACGGTAAGCCGGGGTGTATCAATTTTGAGTAAATTAGCGTCCTTAAAATTGGAAATATTGAAGTTTCAAGCATTTCTGAAATTTACCGTTATATGAAAAGCGGCCTCAATTTTAGTCCGATTTCAATAATTTTCAACGTTTTGCTTTTATGTGGCAAGCACAATAACCATACCGAGTTTGGTACAAATTGGTAGAACGGTTACCGAGATACATATATGTGATCATAAGTGGGCGGCGCCACGCCCACTTTCCAAAATTTTACCACAAACGTATTTCTTGGTAAAGAATTGTTGCAAGCATCAATTTTGAATAAATTAGCTTTAATATTTACTGATTTATCGAAGATTTCGTATTTCTCCAAATTACCGTTATTTGGGATGTGGGCGTGGTTATTGTCCAATTTTAAAAATCCATCGGCCATTTGGTATGCTGCAGAAAGGCTAAGAACTGTGCCCAGTTTGGAAGAAATTGGTGCAGCGGTTGCCAAGATAAACACATGTAACCATAGGTGGGCGTGGCTGCGCCCATTTTCCAAAAATTTATAATATGCTTATTTTTCGTCTAAAAATTATTGTAAATATCAATTTTGAGTGAATAATCTTCAGTAGTTACTAAAATATCGCAGTTTTCGTATTTCTGAAAATTACCGTTATATAAGAGGTAGGCGTGGTTATTGTCCGATTTTGTCCATTTTCAATACTATCCGTCCTACGCCAGAAAGAAGTGCACGTACTAATTTTCGTTAAGATATCTCAATTTTTATTCTTTTCATTCTGATCATTTATGTATGTATACATTTGTCTATATCTATCTCGATTCGTTTTGCCTGTTACAATTAACCGTTAAGTGAACAAAGTTATAATACCCTTGTGCACAAGTGCGCGCGGGTATCAAATATGGGTATGCAGTATTGTAGCCCATTAAATTTTGGTATAATAAAGTGGAAGTAAATATGAGGTTTTTCTAATAGCGGTCGCCCCTCGGCAGGCAATGGCAAAGTGAGTGCTAGTGATGTGCTGGATTGTCGGTACCCAAACTCGGTACCCAATACTTCAAAAAGATTTCGGTACCCAATACTTCAAAAAGATTTCGGTACCCAATACTTCCTTTTCGGTACCCGATTCTCTACATTAAACCTTCGCCATTATATC